CCTGCTGTGGGCAACTGATTAAAATTTCTCACTAAATGAAATAGGAAACAGAAAAAGAAGAACAGGCTCTGGAAGTAGTAATATCCATAATTTGGGTAATGTTAAGTGTAAAAACCCCAAGGAACATCCGGCTAAAATAACAGAGGAGAGATATTAGGTGAAAACCGTGTCTTCTTCAGTATTAGCGCGGACCTCCTCTAAGCGGGAGATGTACTCAATACTATCTGCATTGACGCCTGCAGATCGGGCCCTTGGTGAATGTGAGAGTATCACAGCCTTTGCTTAGTGCATTGATAAAATGTACCTAGGATAGGCTCATGGTTAGTCATTGGTGGCAGGAGCTGTTAATGGTAGGGTGTAATTATATCACTCCCAGGAAGTGAACACGATGCAGAGGTAGTGTATTTATGCTTGTGTTAAGAGCTCTAAACTGGATTCATCTTCTCTTCTGGCCAATCGACACCCCTATGTTTTACTTTTCTCTTGTGAAAAAGAAGCTGTTAGAACAAATTAAAAGCAGTGAGGTTAAAGATAGGAAGATAAAGATATTAAAATCTAATTTTTAGCTTTGAAGAGAGCTTGGTTGGCATCTCCCAGCAATGGCCGAATTCACCGGCTGTGAGTTTCATAAGGCCTGGACGACCTGATAAGAATGTGTCAGGCCAATTCCTAGTGATCCTAGTGCTTGAATGAGGTTTTCCTGTATAGATTTAAAAACCACCACCATCCACTCTGATGGCTGAGAGACATCAGGAAAGAAAGAATTTAAAAAAAAATTGATTTGGATTCAGAGTTAAAGCCAGAATTCATTGTTCTAAAGTTAAGCAGACTTGTTTCCACAGTCCCTCCAATCATTAATAACATAACTCTCATTTTTCTTAGCATTGGCATTATGTATATTTAGGTCTACATTTAAAAGTTCCTAGTGACCTCCTTTAGCACCAGGATTCCTCATTTGGAGGTAACTCACATCCCATCAGATCTGGCACAATCCTCTCCCACAAGTACAATTTTATTTGCTGGTGTTCAAGGATGGTTCCTCATATTTCATCTTAAAACAATCTCTTTTGTAAGTTTCAGGTGTTAATGAGTTGACATTAGGGTCTTTATCTTTTCTTTTCACTTTGCCTATATGGCATGTGTGCCCTCCTAAGAGAGAAAGGCAGAAAGAGAGAAAGAAAGTGAGAAATCACCCCTTGGGGGGATAGCCACACTACAATCCCTTCTCCTCTGATCTCCCTTTGGGATTTGGGGCATGCAAGCACACGTACTTGGGGTGTTTTTCAAGCCACCAGGTCCAGGATTCAAACTGTGAAGTCAGACACATGGAACCCAACCACCTTAACACAACACCTGGTCTAGCAATGTTTCGTTTTGTTTTGCTTTGTTTTTAAGAGAAATTTTTGCTAGCGGATGTGTTTGCTTGCTGGAAAGACAGACAGAAAATGAGAAATCATCCCCGAGGGGGATGGCCACACCACAGCCCCTTCTCCACTTTTCTCTCGGGATCTTGGGCACACATACATATGCACCCGGTGTGAGTTTCAAGCCACTGGGTCCAGGACTAGAACCATGGTTAACCATGTGCGAGTCCAGCAACATAACCATTCTGCCATCTGATGGTCCCACAAGGCTCCTTTTGGAGGAAAGAAATATAGGAAAAAATATGCACATTCTGTAAATGGAGTGTCCAATCAAAAAAGACTATCCTAGGACTGTCTCCAAACATTTCATAGAAAGTACATTCTACACCCTCCAGATTAATGTGCTGTGGTCCGTGAGGTGTGTTAGGGAGGTTCGCCTGGTCAGTCACCCTGCATCAGCCCTGGATTTCTAACATTTCATGTTAGTTTACTTACTGGAGGATTAAGGCAAGACTGGATTACAAAGATGGAGTTCGGGAATGAACTCTGTTGCCTCAGCAAGATCGGCTTTCCAGGCCCCGATTGCTAAGCAGAGGTTTTGAAACTTGACAGTTTTGCCTGGAGACTAGAATGAGGATTCCCCTGCCCCCATTTCCTTTTTAAATCTGTAGCCAACTGGAAGCACCTTGGGTTAGTATGAGAGAATGACTCACAAATTGTATAAATTGTTACTAGGAGTATCAGGGCTCAGTTGAGAATATACTGACTGGAGATCAGAAAAACAAGGACTGGGCTTGGTTTGGCTGCTGACTGCCCAAGTCTCTGAGCTTCAACATCCTCTAAAATTAATAAGGGCTAATATGTATCAAATGCTTCCTATATTCCGGGATTATTACTAGCATTCTGTGTACCTGTCTCATTTAATCCTCACATTTCTAGTGTTGAGTAGGACTGTATTGATCTCTATCTTGCAAATGAGGACATTGAGGTGTGTGGAACTTAAATCATTTGCAACTTCAGAGTCACAAAGGACAGCATGGATTTAACTCTGGCAGACAGAGGACCTGCAGGCTCTGCCCTTATCAGTGACACTACAGCGGGCCCAGAGATGCAAGGAAGGGACTGAGGGGTCTGGAGAGCCCCTTCACCCCTGCCAGTGTGTGCGCGGGGTGGGGGTAGAGGCTTCTGTGGGTCTGAGAACACACAGCATTCTGCACCACCTGGTTCCTTCCCAGCCCTAACAATCTTTCTGGAACACAGACGACTTCACCACTAGGCCTACAGGCAGCATGGCAGGACCTGGCTTAGCTCCTGTGCTCCACAAGAATTCTTCTCAGGGCCATGGGAAGAACCCAGTGGTTGGGAGACCTTGGATAAACGAAGCATCTGGAATGCTGGCCACAGAGAAAACAGTTGTAGCAAGAAGGTGCCGGCTCCCAGCTTCCAGCCAGCTGAGCTGACAGGGACCGGAGTAGAGGGAGAACAGCAGCTGAGGCTGGTGCTGGACCTCACACCAGAGCCCGGCTGAAGGCTGCAGATCACCTTCCCCTCCAAGAAAAATGACAAGTAGCAGCCGCAGCCAAATTCAGGCCCAGAAAGCCAGCTGCGTGGCAGGACGGGGGACAACTGAGGCAGTCAGTGGAAGCTGTGGTGGAGGAGAGGGTGGGGGGCTGAGCAGGGGAAGGAAGGAACCCACAGCGCCAAAGGGACCTGGAACAAAGGAGTAGAGAGGACTACAGTGCCATTACTGTCGTACCCCGGACGCCAGCCAAATCTCTAGAGTAAGTCCTGACATGGAACGAGCAGGAAAAGAAGAAAGCAGCTCAAGCTACCAAGAGGCGGAGGAAGTGGGAGATGCTCTGCTTCCTGTCGAAAGAACGATGATTGAAGACAAAGCTGGGTGGGGACTAGTCCCTGGGCTGCAGCCCCGGCTGCTACACATCCACACAACGCCGCCGCCGCCGCCGCCGCTCTGTTGCCAACTCCTACTATTGCTGGGCTGGGCTGGGCTGCGCGGGGCTGGGCGGGCTGCGCTGAGCTCGCCTGCACAGATCGCTCCGGAGAGGGGAACCGCCACTCTCCTCGGACCAAGCCTCAGGAGCCAAGGTAAAGAAAGGTTTTCCACGTTCTTCCTTGTTAATGGAGAAAAATGACCATTGCCTGCGATTGTTCAAGATAGATTTCTAAGGGAAGAAGGGATGGGCGGGGGGGTGGACTGATCAGGAGAGGTCCCTTTAGAGTGGCTTTTGAGAAGGACCAAATTTGTGACACACTTGCTTTAAAAAAAAAAAAGTCATCATGAGTGCTTAGCTTTGGTAACTCGCCAGGAAAACACCCTACATGTACAG